CTTGTGGAATGGTGATGCATCTTCCACAGTTCACAAAATCTGTCCACAGTTCACAAAAATTGCAGGCCTAAAACCTAATGGGTCTTCACACAGATTTGTGTGACTCAGGGTCAATAGATGTTCATTAGTTTGTGCATTAAAGCTAACCACTGTTTTATGCCACTGTATCAGACTAAATGCAGCATACAATCATTTATTTTCTTCGGGAAAGAAAGTTTCAGAGTCAGTTTTTAGTCTTTAGAGTCAACAGATGTAACAAACTGACAGTTGTTGAGTTAAAATGGCAAACAGTTGCCGATATGCACATTGAGTTCAAATATTACAACTGATTTTGAGTCTAATGTTTCTATTTGTCATGCTTAACTCCAATATTCACCCTCCTTTTAGTTCTGTATGTGGTCTCCATCTGCTCTCTGGGAAATCTTTCTATCTTAAACTGCTAAATGCTCCAGTCTGTTCAGCAGCGAGTTAATCGTCTCGTTAATCTTTGTGCACTTGGTGTTTTGTGTACAGTTTGTGTACACAGTTTTGTCTCAGCCTGCTGCTTCTGCAGCAGTTACTGCTGTCAGCATTAAGAGCTAATTGAAATGAAGACAAAGACACTGAAATGATTAATAAAGCTGTCAGAAGCTGCGCAGTCTGTGTATCGCTGTGAGCTGTGCCTGTCACATCTGTTTACTGCCTTCATTGTAGATATCTGATTATTGATAATAGCAGTTTTAACCGTTGCAAACAGTAGATAACACTCGTTTATGTCGTCTATGGTACATGTGTAACCTCACGTATATAAGGTAATTTTACCCCGTTGCCAGGTGGTTTCTAGGCAATGTGATGAAAACTTGTCATGCACAGTTTTTTTTGTGTGGATTTTGTGGATATAAATATGATTCTATTGTCGGGAAATAAAAATGATCCTGTCCTTTTTATCAAGTGTTACAGGCGCATCATGTCATAATATCTGTTACATATAAGAACCTCCAGGGTTCTAAGGTGTGCCCAAGTGCCAGTTCAGGTTGCTTAACCACTGGTTAGAGGGGTTCACAGTCAAAGAAACAAACCAACACATACACAAATAAAGTTTGTTTTGCAAGAAAGAACGGATAAGGATTGTGTAAACAAAGGCAGTGTTGTTTACACAATTTATTTTTTTAACTCCTTTTTGCATGAAAAAATGTTTGGAAACCATAATTAATGACATTATAACATTATTAGCATATTTGTTACAACACAGAAAGAGCCAATGGAAAAAAACGTTCCTGTGTAAGATAAAACTGACCCCACATGGGCATTTCTGTCACCAGTACTGGTTGGTTGCTTGAGGGTTAATTCTATCCATTTCAGTATTCATTTTCTAATTAAATATAAGGTTTTCAATTAAATGACTGTTTTTTGGGGGTTTTTTTAATGTTAAATGTTCTGTTTTTTATCACAGTGAGGGAGCTGGTGGTATCAGCAGGAAAGAGTGTGGAGGTAACGCTGCCCCTCAACGAGGTCAAACTTTACGCCTATGTGGTCCCAAATGGTGAGTCCAATGGAACGCTGTATGAAACAATAATGCAGTTTATTACCTTCATTTAATCAGTTTCCTGACACCTGAGGAAAAATGGGTGTGTAGGAGGAGCTAATTATGCATGGAGTGGATTTTTCTATGCGTACCAGTTACTAATTATTAATAAACTGTGCGTTATTTGTGCTGTTCAGTAATGCGTGGACTAAACTGCGCTTGACATGAGTCTTAATCATTTTGTACGTCATGCTGAACGCTTGTCAGAGAATTTCAAATCTATGCTGAAAAAGATTATAGAGTTCAGAAGAGTAACACACATGAGTCTGTTAATCCCTTGAGCCCTCCTTAACATGCTGCAGTGTAAAAACTTTGTATCTAGTAGATTTAATTTGAATGCGTACGTTTTTATTACACTCGGGTATTTATTTTTATGTATTTTTCTCTACAGGGACAAACTATGCATTTGACTGGCGTCTAAAAACTCATCCCAAAGATTACAGCGGGGAGATGGAGGGGAAGCACAGCAAGACACTGAAACTTAGCAAGGTGCAGATCACAGTTTCATATTCATGTTTGCTATAAATAAAATCATGCAGGTGGCACTCTGTTGACCATGTAACCAAAAAGGATCACTTCTTCTTTCTGGTTGACTCGATTCCCTCTCTTTGGGTCTCCTCAGCTGACCGTGGGCCTGTACGAGTTTGAGGTGACAGTGGATGGGGAGGGCGCCCACGGAGAAGGTTACGTTAATGTTACAGTCAAACCAGGTATGAAAACTCTTTAGTTTCTGTCATGGCTGCTGATTTAGCTTCTTTTTACACTTGTTCTCAGTGGAATATTTATGAGTTACATTTTTTTTCTCAATAATATCATTTTGTAAGACTTTTGGGGTCTCTGTGACTGTTTATTCTACTTTTGAAGCCACCTTATAAAATCAAGGTCACGTGAGGACTGTAGCCAGCTGTCACAGAGTCAAAGGCAGGGTGAATGTAGTGTTCACACCCACGGGCAGTTTAGATTTACCAGTTAAGCTAACGAGCATGTCGCAGGCACTGGAAGAACGTGGCACCGCCGCGCCGACTCAACACTGTGCAGCTGCTGTAAATCACAAATGAGAAACGGTGTCAAATAAAGCTACACAGGAGAGCGATGTTTTTAATGCTGACGCTTTTATGTATTAGTTGCAAAATTATGTAGCATTGTTAAAGTGTGTGGAAAATTAACTCTCTTCTGTAACACCAAAACATCTCAAAACAGCTCTAAGCAAGTGATAATTCACAGCAGGCGCGTTCTCACTCCTGTAAATTAATCCTTTGTGTGTGGTGCTGCATAGCTGCAGTGCAGTCAGTGTGTGCTTTGGTTGGGCGAATGTGACTACACCAATCAGGACAATTCACTTTTACCTGTGCTACCCCCACACATCATTTAGCATTACTGTTAATGTAATTGTTTACTGTGTCAGACGCATGCTCACGCGCACCTCCATGTGGTGACGTGTAGATAGTTCGTGGTGTGAAACCCATAGACCGTATACAAAGTTGAGCAGTTAGAAGCAGGAAAAAATGGAAAGCGTAATAATTTGAGAGAGTTTGACAAGTATCAGAGCATCTCCAAAATGGCAGCTCTTCCTGGGTCTTCCCGGTCTGCAGTGGTCAATATCTATATGGTTCTGATAGAAAGGTGTCAGAATAACCTGTGCAAAGCAGATTTATGGGCCTGCATAGCTTCAGACCAGTCAGGGTTCCTATGCAGACCCCTGTCCATCGCGGAAAGCCCCAAAAATATGAGACATTTGAGCATTAGAACTGGACTTTAAGCAATAGAAGGAGGTGGTTTAGTCTGATGGACCATGTCTTGATGTGGATGGCCAGGGTGTGTGCACTGATTACCTGTGCCACAGCACATATTTGGGTCTAGTGGGTCCAATGGAGCTTTTGCACATCTGCATTCGCTTCATTTTGCAAAAGTGGACATCAGGACTTGGTGGAAAAACACTGGTGTGAGAGATGTAAATGACTTTTCGTGTGTGTAGTAAGATTATAAAGTTGACGCTGCTTTACATAGCCATATTTGATTTGCAAATTACATGTGCTTTTGAATTATACCAGGACTATTTTAATGTAACCTGTTTAGTTTATTTTAATTCGTATCCATAAATGTTCATTGTGTTTGTTTCTTTTATAAAGATTTGCGGTTGTAATGATCTGTATGTTGCATCTAATGAAGCTAAGCAGTCTAAGCCTTTGAATTAATACAATTGCCCGCTAAAAAGCACTCATTAACCACTTTAAGGGAAAAAAAACCTTATTGCTGGAAGACAGCCCGGCTTTTCTCCCACACATGGTTGTATTTCTGTATTTGCCAGGGTATCCTCTAACCTGTTCTTACTGCCTCAGTCACTAATGCCTAATGTGCAGCTCAGTAAGCGAGTTAATTCCTTATTTTCCACCTGACAGAGCCACGGGTAAACAAGCCTCCTGTTGCCGTAGTTTCCCCAAAGTTCCAGGAGATCTCCTTGCCAACCAGCTCTACGGTGATAGACGGCAGCCGTGAGTCTCCCACATGGTACACACACACAGTCATTTAGCATCAGTTAAAGAAAGGAAAACCAAATCCTTGTCTTCCCTTTACAGAGAGCACTGATGATGACAAGGTGGTGGCGTGGCACTGGGAAGAGGTCAAAGGTCCTCTGAGGGAGGAGAAGGTCTCTGCTGACACCCCTGTACTCACCCTCACCAGCCTTGTGCCTGGGAACTACACATTTAGGTAAACAGAAACCACACTTATCTCAGCGAGATTAGTTGTGAAGCCTGAAAACGCACACCTGTTTTGCTGAAGTGTTGGCCTGCAGACAAATGCAGCTGAGTAAAACTGACTTTACAGATGTTAAACAGGAAGTAAACAGAAAAATCCCTAGTTTGATGTGAAAACATTTGGATACTGTAGCACATCTCTAAATACACTGGGCAACTAAAGGAAATCTTTTTTTGTGATGTTCTTTTATTTAGCATGGACATAAAAAAGAAAAAGAAAATTCTCTCCTTGTTAAATAAATAACAGAAAAAACAGTCCCTTTTGAAAATATCTGATTGATTCTTCGGTACTCAGCTTAACAAGTGCATTTTACTTTCTCTAATATGGCCTCATTATGTGGGCAAGTGCGTGTCTTCATAACCTACTCGTATTTTTGAAGTGCCTCCATCTGGATCATTTTCAGAGAGAGATTTATGATTTATTTGACAACGTGTTCTTCTTTTGATATGCTGGCAGCTGCAAATAATAACAGTGAGCTTTCTTTAAAACAAATTAATAAATAAAGACCCGGAGCACAGCTTTTAAGTTATGGAAGTCAGTAGTAGTAATATAGAAAAAGAGGAGGATTTGCAGCTAAGACTAAAAAATAACTACATGGGTGTTTAATATGGAAGGAAGTGATGGAGCTAGAGACCTCTGTGTCTTCTAAATTTATACAGTGGGAAGGTTAAACGTGATGCGACCAATAAGTATAACCTCTGAGGTCAGTTTTGTTAAATTGCTATTTATTTGGGTTTATATTTGAGTAGCATATTACAGATTGTGATATTTTTTTTTAAATATAGTTCAAAAAGTAAAAAATAAACACTAAATACTTGTTGTGTAATTGACCTAAAAGCTAAAAAAACCAAAAAAAAACCAACCCCAAAATAGTGATGCGCTGGTTCTGAGTTAACATCCATCATTTCACTGCTTGGCTTATCCAGGTTGACATCATAAATTTGTAGGTTTATATTCAATTCAATTCAATTCAATTTTATTTATATAGCGCCAAATCACAACAAATGTCGCCTCAAGGCGCTTCATAGATACAGAGAAAAGCCCAACAATCATATGACCCCCTATGAGCAAGCACTTTGGCGACAGTGGGAAGGAAAAACTCCCTTTTAACAGGAAGAAACCTCCGGCAGAACCAGGCTCAGGGAGGGGCGGCCATCTGCTGCGACCGGTTGGGGTGAGAGAAGGAAGACAGGATAAAAGACATGCTGTGGAAAATGCTATGTGTGCTATTTCAAATAAGGCTTGAATAAGGGCTGAAAGTCTTCAAACAATGTTGTTATTTATTTATGATAAAGATTTATGTTTTCCTGGCAGAAAAGTCAAGATGAATCAGAAAAGAAATGCAAAACTAAGCATCTTCTATGAAATTTTGGCAAAAAGATTTTAATTTCTACAGCACACATGTCTATGGTTGTCTCATAAATGCATCTCCATCTTCCTTTTGTATCAGTTTGACAGTAACTGACTCGGACGGAGCTACAAACTCGACACAGGCCACTCTCTCCGTTAACAAAGCCAAGGACTATCGACCTGTGGCCAACGCCGGCCCAAACCAGGTTTGTCCTCTCTGTTGTATGATGCCCCAACCTGCAGGTGCTGCTATCACATGAAAATCAAGTAAGTTATTTATGCCAAACTGCGGCAATCCTAATAACTTTCCTCTTGCCTCTTCCAGGTCATCCAGTTACCACGCAACTCCATCACTCTGTATGGCAACCAAAGCACCGACGACCACGATTCCCTGTCCTATGAGTGGTCCCTCAGCCCAGAGAGCAAAGACAAAGTGGTGGAGATGCAGGTACAATACTCCACACAGCTGAATTCACGTGTATTGGGTTATTTTTCTGTGGATAAGATCATCGTAGCTAACAGTGGCATATACTGTGCTTTTCAGGGTGTACGGACACCCATCCTACAGTTGTCAGCAATGCAAGAGGGAGACTACACCTTCCAGCTGACTGTGACGGACTCAGCTGGACAGCAGGACACTTCTCAGGTCACCGTCATCGTGCAGCCAGGTAAACAGCTGGAGAGTTCATGCCACCTCAGCAGGTATCACTTCCCAGCCATCACAGATGTCACACATTAGCTCAGGATTTTTCAGTGTTTATTCAGCTCTGAGCTATTGTTCACCATATGGAGCGAATAAATCTCTTTAACTTGACATTTAAGAGATGCCGTATCTGAACACAGTGTACCCTGTGTGGCTTCTTGCTCGCCCTTTGTCTCCCCCGAATTTACACATCAAAGAGCAAATTGAGCCACAGTGTGTAAGTCGCCATTAATTTGTGACCTTTCATGACGTGTGAGGAGAATGTCGGCACTTAAACTGCGCCTGTTTAGCAAACAGTGAAGGGTAATCATATGAGGGAGCAGAGTGCACTCAAGGTGATAAGCACTTTGTAGACTGGAAATGTACTGTTTTATGTTGGACCTCGAATGTGAACACACAACAACAAGGTCTGCTAGGTTTAGACCGAGGCTATCTTGTGAGTCATCGCACCTGAAAGATATGACGATGTTATTAGTCAGAATCTAATTCCAGGTACTTCAGAACATAACTGCTGTGCTTTAGTTACTGTCAGAAAGACACTGGTCCTTTATATCATAGAAGGGTTTTTGTTACAGTGATGTTATTACATTAGCTGTGTTATACAAATATTGGGTTTTCTTTCGTCTCAAGCTAGCTCGGCTTGAAATACTGGTTAGTCTCTCCAAATCGCAAAACGCCCCTGAACGCCCAGAGCTTCCTAGTTTGAGGAGGCCTGCTCCCCAATCCAGGTTTTTCAGACAGTAATTGTAGCTCTGTGCTTTAGTAGTTTTCTCATAGTCTCATTATATACAACTGGACTTCTTTTTGTAACCAATGGAACCAGACTCTTCTGGTCATTAGAGAGATTGCAGATACAAAGCACTTTGATACAAAGCCTTCAGTTTTCTGATTTGGATTTCCATCTTCTACAACCTCAATTCGGAAAGAGTCGGGAGTCTGTGCAAAATGTAAATAAAAACAGAATTGAATCATTTGCAAATCTCATAAAACCAGACTGTTGTCACAATAGAACATAGAAAACACATAAAATGTTTAAACTGAGAAAATGTTTAAAACAATTTTTTTTTCAAATTTGATTTAGGTAAAACATCTAAAAACGAAATTGTGTCTTTGTTTAAATGTATTGCCTCTCTTCTATTAAAAGTCTGTGAAAATTTGGGGACATTCAGCATATCTTGATGGTGCCTTCCCAGATGTGCAAGCTACCAATTCCATTGGCACTGATACACCTCCATACCACCAGACTTTTGAAAAGAGGATTGATAACGTTCCTCTTTCGTCCAGAGGATGCAGTGTTTGTGTTTCCCAAAAAGAATTTCAAATTTGGATTTATCTGACCACAGAATAGTTTTCTACTTTGCCTCAGTCCATTTTAAATGAGCTTTGGTCTAGAGATGACAGCAGCATTTCTGGCTCATGCTCACATGTGGCTTCTTCTTTGCATTACAGACCTTTAATCTGCAACCTTTGACCTGGCAGACGATGGTTTCTCCAAGTCTTCCTAAGCCCATGCAGTGATTTCATGACATAATCATGTCTGTTTTTGATGCAACACTGAAGGCTCAAAGATCACAGAATTATAGATAGATAGATAGATAGATAGATAGATAGATAGATCCCACACTTTTGATCATATTTTGCAATACATTAGATATTTTTGCAGTCTTTGCAAATTTATGTTGAAAAAAGATTATTGAAGTTTCACAGGTTGTAGATGTACCTTTTTGCCAGTTAACCTAATGAGCTGCAAAATGTTCCCCCAACTCTTACTTTTCAAATTCAAAACAAACAAAAATCTTTCATATAATACTACTGGTTTAAATAAATTCGCTTTGGGGATCTGCTGATACCAAGAGCAGATCCAATGTTAAATCAACAAACTATTTTTCTGTCTGTGAGAAAGAAAAAATTCACACATTTGCAAAATAACCAAAGCACTGCTACAGATGCATTGTAAACGTGGAACAACATAGATTTAAATAGAATGGATTGACCCGTTGAGGCCTTGCCCAGTCAAGCTGATCCAAACACTAATATCGAATCTGTCCTTCTATACTGTAATTTAGTGTGGCCCAAATAATGGAGTTGTGTGTGTCATTTTCACATTTCATTCAGAAAATAATAAACCACCAGTAGCAGATGCAGGACCTGAGAAAGAGCTGACGCTGCCCATGGATCACACCACACTGTATGGCAATAAGAGCCACGATGACCAGAAGATAGCCACCTATCACTGGACAAAGACCAGGTCAGATAAATATGGATTAATGCAGTTTGTATTTTTTGTTGTTAAAGTCTAGAATGATAGTTTACGTGATACCTCAATCATAGTTACTGAGAGATTTATAATATAAAACACTTGAATTCACAGGTTTCAGTCGCTGTCACTAACATTTCCACATCCTCTTTAATTCCCCTTGTCCTTCCCTTCATGTTTCGATCTTTTTTTTTTTTTGGTCCGTCTGTTCCTCTACCAGTGGTCCCGATGGTGTGAAGATTGAAAATGCAGACAGCGCCGTTGCCACGGTGACAGGTCTCAAGGTCGGCACATATGAGTTTACCCTGACAGTAACTGATGAGAGGAAGCTGGAGAGCAGCGACACTGTCACGGTCATCGTTAAGGAAGGTACGAAGTTGTGTGTTTGTGTGGGTGTGGAATAAGACTTTTCCTTTAAGCAAAATAGCTGCTTTAGGTCAAAGTCAGACAGCTGAGTATTACGGATGTTTTGAAATTTACATTGTAATTACAGAAGCAAGAGCACAGTTATTATCTGGAATAACATAAACACACTCAGATATGTAGACAAACGTATGGTTTAATGCATGCACATACACACAGAGATCGATATAAATATAAACGATTTCACTCTAGTGCGGTATTTAAAGTATTTGTGCTAATACATGCCTTATTGCATCAAATGCCTTAGCTTTATATTGAATTTTAAACTTTTTTAGTTTAATGTCATTTATACAGCACCAAGTGGGGGATTTCTTTTTTCTAATGACCTGCTGGATATTTGATTTTCTCCTTGGGGATAAATGAGTTATCCATCCATGCATATAATGAATTCCCAACATCAAGTCTTTCTATATTGGAAGGTAAAGAGCCTACAGTGCTGGAGAGAAAACACCAACAATCAGTTAGTCCCCTTGGAACAGCACTTGGTAACAGCAGAAAGGAAGAACTCCCTTTTAACAGGAAGAGACCTTCTGTAGGGCCAGTTGGTTACCCAATATGGGATAAATGTGATCTCTCTCTTTCTAGTCCCTATCCAGCTCTCAGTGTAGCCTTTTGGATCTGCTGAAAGCTTTCTGTTTAGAACAGCCTGATTAAAATGGAATTACAAGAATGATTGCCCAATATTGCTAAAATTAGGAGCAATCTGTTTATAAGCATTATCTTAGAATGCTTATTGGTCCTTCAAACGTAGGAGTGTTGTCCAACTATTACCTTAGGTGTCATTCAGAGGCCTGTTCTCTGTACTTTTTTTTTTTTTTTAAATAATCCCAGATCAAAGTGTGTGGGTTTGGGTGTGGTGTGGAGTGACGCTAATCCGGGTTTTGTTCAGATCTTTGAACCCATAAGAGAATTTGATTAGGAAAGCTGGAGATTATTGTGCACTCCCATTATCCCTGACCAGAGTATAAATATCAGTACTGGAAACCATAATCGAGTGGAGTAATGAGTGGAGGAAGCAACAAAGAGGGGGGAGAATATTCAGATTAACGGTTAAAAGCAGCACAAATGTGACACACTCATTCATTCATTGCTTGGAGAACAATAGTAGGAAACTAAATGATGAGTTACTGTTGTCAGTTACTCCCTCTTGACTTATGCGCTAACTCTAATAATGACTCACAATATTCAGCAGTTTTTCCTGTCATCAGTGCACAAAATGGAACTGGTCCCCACCCTTCCCCCAACCTTGGTTGTGCAATATTTGCACAACCAAGGTTGGGCTGATTTCCGTTAAACAATTCTGGTAATTCTTGATCTTGTTTACAATGAACAGACCTGTGACAAGCAGGTTTGACCTCATGGATGTGTTGCAGTAAAATCCGATCCTATAGCTGAAGAACTGAAATATACCACATCAAACCAAATCATCAGCAGTTTAAACCAAATAATGTGCCGATCTATGCGCTAGAACAATGAGAACAAGCCCTCTGTGAGCTCATCCTGTTATATTGTATAAACAAAAGACTGTGCTATTAATGGGAAACAGTCCAGAGGGAGTGACAGCTGCACAACAATCATAAACATGTGAAAATGGTCTGGCTATAAACGTGCAGTGAAGTGGTGTAGTTGCATATAAGCTTTTGATTCTCTGAGTATTTAGAGGGAGAAGATATAAGGTCTCCTGTAGATCTGAGTGATCTGAATGTGCCTCAGTTTGAATGAGAAAAAGCATGATTGTGTTATTGAGATGCTGTTTTTGTTTGTGTTTCCCCTACAGTTTGAAAGACAAACTGTAGGGGTTACAAAAAAGATGTATTCTGTGTCTTTGAAAGTGTGGGATAGGTACCTAAATGACATCAATCTACAGCACATATTATCTAATCTATTTAAACTGTGTGGTGTATTCTCTCTAAAATACTGTAGCGCATGTACCAGATTATCAAGGGTGACCAACAGGGGGCTCTAACAGAGACACATTGTAAAGAAGTTTATGAAATTTTAATGTTTTTTCTCCAGAAAAGGACCAACCGCCAGTAGCTCGTGTTGTGTCGAGTCCACCCATCTCTTTGCCTGTCAGGACCGCCACTTTGGATGGATCTCAGTCCACTGATGACAAAGGTGGACTCAGCTACCTGTGGACCAGAGAAGACACCAGTCCTGCTGCTGGGGTGAGACGGACCTTTATAATCAGGCCTTTAACTGATCTTAGTTCTGGTTTAGTTTATTGCAGGGACCAT